GGTCCTCCTCCTCCTCCTCCTCCTCCTTCTCAGCCTCCTCCTCCTCCTCCTCTTACTCCTCCTCCTCCTCCTCCTCCTCCTCCTCCTCCTCCTCCTCCTCCTCCTCCTCCTCCTCCTCCTCCCCCTCTTCATCATCTTCCTCATCCTCGTCCTCCTCCTCCTTCCCCCTCCAAACCTCCAACTTATGGTGGTGGTGGTGGGAAATAGGCCTATCATACTTGATTCGAAGGCAAGGCCCTTCCCTGTGATCCCTTCCCTGGCTGGGGGGGGGGGTCAGCGGGGCCGGGGCGGCTCCAAGTGGCCACGGAGCTTCCCAAGAGGTCCTCCAAGAGGCCCCCCGATGGAGCTCAATGGGCTCCCAGGGGAGCCCCAAGAGCGGCTCCCAAGCGTCAGCGTCGTCGTCGTCCCCGTTCAGGGTCGGCGGCACAAGCCGCGACGCCTTCCCAGTAAGTTCGTTGGGTGTGCCAGGTGCCGGCTGGTGTTAGATCGGGCATGTCCCCCTACAGGCGGCTTCTGGGGCGAAAGATAAGATGATCGAACAGTACTCTCTAGAGTAGTCAAGCATAGTCAAAAGAGCGTCCCCGTACAATGTTTTTCTATCTTCAAGACTCCTCCTGTAGAGGGACACGCCCGACGTGAGGCTGGTGCTCCGCAGGTGGGCGCCCGTGTGCGCCTCGTGGGCGCCTCGCGCGCCCGGCTGCCCGCCCCGTGGGCGCCGCGTGCGCGGGGGGGGGGGCGGCGTGCCGACGCTGCACCCGGTGTCCGCGGGCCTTATGCGCCAGGTGGGTGCGCCGAGGCTTGGCCCATGGCCGCCTCATGGGTGCCTTGTGCGCTGGGCGGCCGCATACAGTCGGGGCGTTGACCTAAGGAGAGCTAAACAGGGAACGAGGCCCCTTGTTTGCCATAGGTTAAACTTCGGAGTCCCATGGAAGACCCATGGAAAACCCGAGGCAAACTGGAAAACAATCAAGGAACACCGAGCCCCTCCCCAATGAAAAGGGTTCCTTCTTCAGCGCCCCGACTGTATCGTGTGTGTTTTTGCTCGCGGACAGAGGGCGAAACGGCGCGGCCACCAGCGCCCCAGCGGCCGCATATTAGTGCACCACAGAGTTAGCGCCATGATAGCTTACACGCCGCACTGCCTACAACACACAGACACACATTGCACAACATTGCACCCACTACACAGCTTGCACCACACGACTTCCACCACGTAGCTTGCACCGCGCAGCCCGCACCAGATGGTTTACGCCACGCAGTGTGCACCACGTAGCTAGTACCACATTACTTATACCAAATGGCTTGCACCATATGACTTGCACGGCATAGCGTGCTCCACATGTATTACACAAGGTAGCTTGTACGGCGTAGCTTCAACCAAATTTCTTAAACTAAATAGCTTGCACTACACCACATGACTTGCACCACATAGCCTGCACCTCATAGATTACATCACATACATTGCATCATACGCGCCATCAAGACCACAGCAATTATGCCAAACCAGCTGGCCGCTCTGCGCGCGAGGGTGGGCGCGCCAGCACGGACGCAGAGATGCGCCACCATGTGACAAGCAGTCTCTGCAATCACGGCCGCATGGGATTCGCAAAACAAGTTACGGATGGGAGGTCGGGATGTTTGCGCGAGCAGTAGAATTGACAGATCATTATTGGCATCTGGATATTGCACCATGTACATCTTGTATAAACATACGTGTTACACAATAGAACTCGAACCACATATTGTGCACATCCACAGCGCAATACCCCACAACATGGTCCACGCTGACAAACGTTGTCTTCAGAAGATGTAGCCCAGTCAATTTCACCATCCACCGCTTACACAATGGGGCTGCACGGTTTCCCCCGGGGCCGTGAGCGACCCGAGGAGGAGGAGGAGGAGGAGGAGGAGGAGGAGGAGGAGGAGGTGGAGGTGGAGGGGAAGGAGGAGATGGAGGGAGGAGGAGGAGATGGAGGGAGGAGGAGAGGAGGAGGAGGAGCAGGAGGACGAGGAGGAGGAGGAGGAGGAGGGCGAGGAGGAGGAGGAGGAGGAGGGAGGAGGAGTAGGAAGAGGAGGAGGAGAAAGGGGGTCGCCTGAGCCCTTCGGAGAAGCCCTCCAGCTGGGGCTGCGACTTCGATGGCTCGACACTTTGGCCGGGTCCACCGCTGTATTGCCTGGTTCCCGCTCGTGGCCGCCCGTGGGTGGCTCGTGGGCGCCACGCGCGCTGGGTGGGACCACCAAGGCTTCGCCCGTGCCCGCTCGTGGACGCCCAGGCGGGCGTTCCGTGGGCAGCCGCAGAGCTTCTGCCACGAGGCTTTTGACCACCCAGCTCCTCCTGCTGCCCATTTTCCTCCTCCTCCTCCTCCTCCTCCTCCTCCTCCTCCTCCTTCTCCATCTCCTCCTCCATCTCCTCCTCCCCCATCCCCCTCCATCTCCTCCTCCCCTCCTCCTCCTCCTCCTCTTCCTCCTTCTCGGGTCGCCTAGGGTCCCGGGGGAACGCTGTGTGGACAGAGCTCTGTCCATGCAGCTCATGCCACGTTGCTTATACCACATAGCTTGCACCGAATAGACGACAACGCATGTGTACTTTGCACAGCATACGCCACACAGCTTGCACCACATAGCTTACACCTCGTGCCGCATAGCGTAACCATTGCAGTACAGCTTGCTCAGAAATTGTTGCCCTTCATAGCTGGCCCCCCACACAGCTTCCATCCGGTGTGCTGCACCACATGGCTTACATCCCACCGTTCGCATCCACAATGCAATGACTCCCGGCTGTAGTAGAAGACTAAGCGGCATAAAGAGAAACTTCTGGCGCTCCGCGAAGATTTCTTGGATGCGCCAGGGGCGGCGCTGGAGGCGCCACTGGGGGGCCCAACGCGGGTCCAAGAAATCCGCGAGGAGCGCCAACAAGTTTATGTGCACGGCACTTCTTCCTCTTCTTCGATGCTTGGGTTCCAAGCTGGCAAATCCAGCCTTCAGAGAACAAGCCCATGCGCATCCGCACGCAGACATTTGGTGTCCGTTCCATGGGAGCCGGCGTGGCCGCTGGCGCTGTCCGATTTGGGCTTGATTTGGACCAAAGCTGGAACAATCATGTGGCACCATATTTGGACCGCATTTGGACCGGATTTGCACCATCACGGGGAAGACGAAGAGAACGAGGGGGGGGAGTAAGAGCAGGACGGGCGAGGAGGAGCACGAGGAAGGGCCAGAGGCGGTCCAAACGCGGTCCAAATGCAGGAAACGCCGGCTTCAATGTCGCCGCCCACGACTCCCATGAGCGGACATCGAGCAGACATGGGACGCACAGGGACGTACTAATACAATATGTCCTGCTTGTTGGCGTGCGTCCGACCTGAACACACAGTATACCCATCTTGTAGTACATGTTTCCCGAGCGGTGTGGCCAGAAAGCGTCCGTCACGACGCATATACTGTAAGATTTATCGGTGCGCGCGTCGCCCCTGGGGGGGCGACGCACATATAGTATAAGTACTTAGGAGGTAACTACTGGGATGTTTTCGTGGGAAAGACTAAACAAGGTTTAGCCCCATTGGGGGGCTGTTACGCCGGAGTGGGCCTCGGATTAAGCCGCATTAGACGGGATTAAGCGGCATTAAGCCGGATTATGCGGGACTAAGCCGGATTAGGAAGGATCAAGCCGGATTTCGGACCAGGGCAAAAACAGAGTTTGACCTCCCAGGAGTTGCATCCGAAAAATATATTTTGGGTGACGCCGAAGACACCCCAACAGCACACTTATGTCGGGCGTGTTCCCCTACAAGGGGATTTTCAAAGAAAAATAAACAATACCCCAAAAAATGCACCAAAAAGGTTAAACAATGCTATTATGCTTTACTATTCTTGAATATTTTAATATTTCGTCAAAATCCCCTGTAAGGGGACAGGCCCGACTTGAAAGCAAACGCTCGGGGCGCCCACGAGCCCCGCCCGTCATGGACCTCGCGGGACCCTCCGAGCGGCCGCCCGCCCACGGGGCGCACAGAACGGCGGCGACCAGGCGACGACCCACGCCTCAGACCGGAAGCCGCAGGCAAGCAAGCAAACAAGCAAAGAAAAAGCACAGACAAGCCAACAAGCAAACCCGACTGCAGTCGGCCTTGATTGGACAGGATGCGCGAGAGGACGCAAGACCCTTGCGAGGGTCACGTTGCCACAGGAATGCAGGAAGCAGAGGTCGCGAGACACCGGACGCAAGGGTACCCTCGAGCTGGCCGGGTCGACCTACGAATCCGGGCCGACTGCACATCAAACATCCACACACAAACCAACACACAAACCAGCAAGCCCACAGACCAGCAGGCAACCAAACACACACAGACCAACACGCAAACCAGACTGAAGGGGCCCCAGGACACACACACACATGAATACACACACATGAAAAAAAGGTCCCCCTAGTTTATCACATGTCCTGGGCTTCTGTTTTTCCCCCCACCTCCCACAGCTTCCCAGATTTTCTCGGGAATCGAGGCTTAATTGTGTCTGTGTGTTTTGTTTGGACGCCCGAAATGGGTACTGAAAGAATGGGCACTATGCCCAGCAACAAATGTTGTCCCAAGCCAACAGCGGCCGCTGTTGGGCAGGCGGCCCTCTGTCTCGAACGGACACAGGCCGCGGCGGCGCGGACAGCGAATCCTGCTCAAAATGAACAGGAACTGCTGTTGGGCATCGTACCCATTCTTTCGGTACGGCAGGTTCGTGTCGTGCCGACTTCGGCGTTGGTATTTGACGCCGCGGGGATCGTTAAACCTTGAACGATCGGCCGTCTCCGCAACGTCCGATCGTTCAACATCGACCGATTCGGGGTCGCCGGCGGCGTTCAACCTTGAACGCCCGCGCTGGGGTCGCCGCTGGTCGACACGACGCAAACCTACCGTACCCATCTCGGGCGTCCAGATTAATTGTGTCTGTGTGTGTTGTTTCCCTCCTGCCAGACTGCGGAAAAAACACTGGGCAGGCCGGCGGGGCTCCTTCGTCGCGAGGGAGACGACCTGAACCCCGCTCGGAGGGGGGGGGGGGCCCCCGCAGGAGTCCCCCCTCCTGTTGCGCGGCTCTCCCGGCCCCCCCTTCCCCCCCCCCCCTGCCTGCCTCCCTCTTCTCCTCCTCCTCCTCCTCCTCCTCCTCCTCCTCCTCCTCCTCCTCACCCTCCTCCTCCTCCTCCTCACCCTCCTCCTCCTCACCCTCCTCCTCCTCCTCCTCCTCCTCCTCCTCATATTCCTTCTCCCCCCCCCCCGACCCCCCATCGAGTCCTCCCTCCCCCTGCTCTGGTAAGGCTTCGGGCTGCGCCGAGACAGCCCCAGACCTTGCCGTCGCTCGGACGTCCCTTTCCCGTGCACGGTTCGGTTCCGTGCGTGCTTTGCTTGCTCGATGGTCCAGGGTGCTCCTAGGTGGCCCTCGCCGAGAAAAAATGCACACGTCCGAGCGATGCCAAAGGACGGGCTCAATTGAAAGGGCCCCAAGACACACAAATAAATATACACAAATAAAAAGAGTCCCCATATTTTCCTATATTTTCTGGGGTCTTCCCCCCCCCCCCCAGTTACCATATTTCCCCATATCTTCTCGGGAATCGAACATTAACTGCCTGTGTATTTTTGTCCTCTCCTGATCAATAGAAGCGGCGCCGAGGTGCCGAGATGGCTCCAGACAACTCGGGGACCTGCTGAGGCCGCCAGCCGGGGCTAACAGGGGGGCGTCTGTGCGCAACCCGAAGCAGGGCTCTTCCCGGCGTCCTGGCAATAGTGACGAGAGTCCAGAGCCGAGAACGAGAAGCCAAGACTGCCTGGCTCGAAACAGGACTGAAGAGAAGGGACAGAGAGGGAGAGAGAGAGAGAGAGAGAGAGAGAGAAAAAAAAAAAAAAGAAGCAAGATCTCGACGGCGAGCGAGGGGGGGCGGAACAAGAAGGATAATGCCTTCTCAGAAGGCGGCGGGACATCTCAGAAACCATCGCGCCTTCTGAGAAGTCTCCTGTGCCCTCAGGGAACCGCTCAGAAGACATCGCAGAGGGGTGGGGGACCTCCGAGTCTCCTAAGAACGCCCGCCTCTTCTCACCCCCCCTTGGCTCGCCGCCGAAGAGGAGAAGGTGGAGGAGGAGGAGGAGGAGGAGGAGGAGAGAGAGAAAGAGGGAGCAGGGCAGGGGAGGGACCTTGGAAGCTTGCAGTGCCTTTTTGGCGCTGGGCGTCCCCCCTCCTCCTCCTCCTCCTCCTCCTCCTCCTCCTCCTCCTCCTCCTCCTCCTCCTCGTCCTCCTCCTCCTCCTCCTCCTCGACCTTCCCCTCCTCCTCCCTACTTACTTACTGCACTCCCGAGGGAGCCGCAAGCCCACGGAGTCCAAAGCTCTCCTCCACCGCACCGCGCCGCGCCGCCGCGGCGGTCGACGCGCCCGAAGCGCCCTAAGAGGCCAAGAGGTCCCCGCTCGAGGAGAAAGAGACGCCTCCAAGGGCGCGGGGGAAGAGAGGCGAGGACCCCCAAAGCCCCGCAGGCGAGACCCCAGGCCCCTAAGGGGCCCCGCGACGAGAGGAGAGGGAGGGAGCCTCAGAGAGCCTCGGAAGGAAGGGGCCGGGCCCCGAGAGCCAGCGAAGGCGGACCAGAGGCCAAGTGGAGGAGGGGGGAAGGGCCTCTCGAAGGGCCTCGAAATCTCAGACGGCCTCCGAGCAGCTCCAGGCATTCTCCTGGCCCCGCAGGTCGCCGCCCATACAGCGGCGCCAGCGCTGCCCAGCCGCAGAATCTCGGTCTGTCTGGGCGGCGACTTGTGGGGCCAGGCTCTGCCCAGGGAAGTGGACGCTAGGTTGCCTTCCTGGGCTGGCGCCCCCCCCCCCCGCGGAAGGCGAGAGACGAACACTATACTATAATAAAAACATTACCCTGGCGACGTACCCAACCCCTGCGCCAACGCGGGGCGCAAATAGTTTCGGATACTTTACGAGGGGGGCGATGACGGAGCGAGGCTTACATATGTCTGCAGACGGAATTCAGGAGCCTCGCAGGACACAGGCTACAGGACAAGGTCTGGATAGAGCTGATTAGTTACAATCCCTGAGCAACCCTAGCCACTTCGAAAGCGGGGATCTCATATCACAGCCCCCCACGGATGGCGAGGTCTAAGTTGGGTCCGCTCGTGGCGTCACTGTGCTTGGCCCCCCAGCAGGCCTCGGAAGTGGCGACAGTTTCACAGATCACAGCCCCCCAGGGATGGCGAGGTCTAATTTGGGTCCGCGCGTAGCGTCACTGTGCTGGGCCCCCCCAGCAGGCCTCGACAGTGGCGACAGTTTCACAGATCGCAGCCCCCCCCAGGGATGGTGAGCTTTAATCTGGGTCCGCGCGTGGCGTCACTGTGCTGGGCCCCCCAGCAGGCCTCGAACGTGGCGACAGTTTCACAGATCGCAGCCCCCCAGGGATGGCGTGGTCTAATTTGGGTCCGCGGGTGGCGTCGCTGTGCGGGCCCCCCCAGCAGGCCTCGAAAGTGGCGAGAGTTTCACAGATCGCAGCCCCCCAGGGATGGCGAGGTCTAATTTGTGTCCGCGCGTGGCGTCACTGTGCTGGGCCCCCCAGCAGGCCTCGAAAGTGGCGAAGTTTCACAGATCGCAGCCCCCCAGGGATGGCCGAGGTCCAATTTGGGTCCGCGCGTGGCTCACTGTGCTGGGCCCCCCAGCAGGCCTCGAAAGTGGCGACAGTTCCACAGATCGCAGCCCCCCAGGGATGGCGAGGTCTAATTTGAATCCGCCCGTGGCCCACTGTGCTGGGCCCCCAGCAGGCCTCGAAAGTGGCGACAGTTTCACAGATCGCAGCCCCCCAGGGATGGCGAGGTCTAATTTGAGTCCGCGGTGGCTCACTGTGCTGGGCCCCCCAGCAGGCCTCGAAAGTGGCGACAGTTCACAGATCGCAGCCCCCCAGGGATGGCGAGGTCTAATTTGAATCCGCCCGTGGCGTCACTGTGCTGGCCCCCCAGCAGGCCTCGAAAATGGCGACAGTTTCACAGATCTCAGCCCCAGGGATGGCGAGGTCTCCCCCGCGTCACTGCGCTGGGCCCCCCAGCAGGCCTCGAAAATGGCGACCACAGATCGCAGCCCCCCAGGGATGGCGAAGGTGAATCTGCCCGTGGCCCTCACTGTGCTGGGCCCCCCACAGGCCTCGAAAATGGCGACAGTTTCACAGATCGCAGCCCCCCAGGGATGGCGAGGTCTAATTTGAATCTGCCCGTGGCCCTCACTGTGCTGGGCCCCCCAGCAGGCCTCGAAAATGGCGACAGTTTCACAGATCGCAGCCCCCCAGGGATGGCGAGGACTAATTTGAATCCGCCCGTGGCGTCACTGTGCTGGGCCCCCCACAGGCCTCGAAAATGGCGACAGTTTCACAGATCGCAGCCCCCCAGGGATGGCGAGGTCTAATTTGAATCCGCCCGTGGCCCTCACTGTGCTGGGCCCCCCAGCAGGCCTCGAAAGTGGCGACAGTTTCACAGATCGCAGCCCCCCAGGGATGGCGAGGTCTAGTTTGAATCCGCCCGTGGCGTCACTGTGTTGGGCCCCCCAACAGGCCTCGAAAGTGGCGACAGTGTCACAGATCGCAGCCCCCCAGGGATGGCGAGGTCTAATTTGAATCAGCCCGTGGCGTCACTGTGCTGGGCCCCCCAACAGGCATCGAAAGTGGCGACAGTTTCACAGATCGCAGCCCCCCAGGGATGGCGAGGTCTAGTTTGAATGCGCCCGTGGCGTCACTGTGCTGGGCCCCCCAGCAGGCCTCGAAAATGGCGACTGATTCACAGATCGCAGCCCCCCAGGGATGGCGAGGTCTAATTTGAATCCGCCCGTGGCGTCGCTGTGCTGGGCCCCCCAGCAGGCCTCGAAAGTAGCGACAGTTTCACATATCGCAACCCCCCCCGCAGGCAAGACAGGAGGAGGCAAGAGGGAGGCGGGAAGGAAGGAAGGAGGGAGTGGACACCACACTGCTCTATTCAAAACGAATACCCAACCAAGGAGGGTTGGGAAAAAAACAACAACACAGATCGGGGAAAGGACTCGGGGGGCCTCTACTAAATCCCAAGACGCCTGCGCGCACGGCAATGGCCGGCCTCCTCGGGGACGTCGGCGCGGCCGGGGGGGGGGCGCCTGCAGGCGGCTGCAGCAGCGGCGCCGCGATGCCGAAAGGCTGCATCGCCCGCCTGCTGCGGCCCCCCCCTGGCACTGCCGCGCGCCGCGGGGCGAGGTGCCCGAGCCCTGCGCGCTGCGGCGCCGCTGCCGCCCGTGCGCCTCCTCCCGCCAGCGCCAACATGCCACCCACATTCAAGGGCAATCGCCCCTTGGGCGATGGAGGCCACCACCGCTGTTCTCAGCATGCCCTCTTGGAAGAAGGCGGCGCAGGGCACGCGCCTTCGGCTCGCGATCGCCCAGATGTCGAGGGTCAACCGCAGCGCGGCGACGTCCCTGAAAATCGCCTTTGCCCTGGCAGGTGCGGCTTGCGCCGTAGCCCACGGGTCCGAGCTGCCGCGGAAAGCCACGTCGGCTCCGTCCAAGGCCCAGGTAGAAGTCCCCAGGTGCACCATGACCATGCCGCATGCCTGCACCGAGCGCTCCCAGTTGCATCTAGAGCCTCTGGTGGCCGCCACCACACTCGAACCAAGCTCGTCATCTTCGAAGGTCGTTTCGAAAAACTACACCCCGTTGCTCTCGATGCTGTGGCGGCATTGGTTCTTGTGGTCTTTGCTCTCTGTAGAGCACCCGCCCACAATCCACGCGGTGTCTGTCGGCTGGGGCAGAACAGCGCGCTGGCCAGCTACGTCGCTATCAACTTGGACTCCTGCCGTGATGGACCGCTGCTCCTGCCCACGAATGCTGGGTGTCCGCCGTCACCGTGCTGCGCGCCTTCAGCTGCGCTCGGTAATGGATCGCGAGGTCGATGTGCTGGTCGTTCTGGTGCTGGCGGTGGTGCTCGTCGTCGGGCTGGGCGCGCGGCCTTCTGCTCTCTGAAGCTTCGGGTCCTCTGTTGCTTCGTCATCTCGACGTCGTCGGTCATCTTCTGCTGCGCGACATCGTCTGCGAGCGCTTGGCATTTGTCCGCGTCATGCTGTAGACACCCAGAGTCTCGGTGACGCAAATGTCTGACCAGCCGCACTCGAGTGCGGAAGTCTGCGCCGCAGGCCTTGCAAACGCTGCCCTCCGCGAACCTCTGTGCGTCGCGCGCTGGTTGGTGGGCCTTGGTCATGCGACCGCGGAAACTGGCTCCGGTCGTGAATGCCTTTTCGCAGTCGTATCATACATTCCATCTCTTGGCCTCGCTGCTGTCGTCGTGGAGCGCGGAATTGCCGCGCCGCTGCCTCGGGCCCCTCTACTGATCACAGTGGTCGCTGCTGCGCCTCCAGATATCGCGCTGGCAGCGCTCCTCCATGACGCGTCTGTACTGCTCGAAGGTCTTTCTAACGATCTTCGACATCAAGTTCGGGCCGCTCCTGCAGATAACAGTCCATCCGCTGAGGTCGCCATGCGCAGGGAAGTGGCTGCTGCCGCGGCATGTTCTGACAAGCCGCAGGCATTCGAGGACGGCCTTGCGCCAGTTGTCGCGGCGCCGACGCCCGAACCCCAGCAAATACTTTAATGTGGGGGGGGGGCCTGTCGGATTACTGCGCTGGGGTGCCTGGGCCTGCGCGCTGACACCACCGCTGATAGGTCTGGCGTCTGCTCGGCGGCGTCGCGATTGCACCCGGCTGCAGCGGCGACCCTGTAGCCTCTCGAGCGGGCCGCCTTCAGGCGCTGGTGATCGCAGACGCTCATGCCGCACAATAGCCCGGACTGGCACGCGAGCCTGGCGCTGGTCAGCGCGTCGACGAACTTCGCAGCGTTCTCGGGCTCGGCCGGGGGGCATTTCACGACAGAGTGCCCGATGGGGCCCAGGGACTGCCGATGTGCTCGTAGGCGATGCTGCACTTCAGGCCCCCATGAGCCGTCGCTGCAGATCATCGCGCCTATGCTTGTACATGTATACGACGTCCGAATCAATGTCCCACGTAGTGGGTGGACACCTTCGCTCGGTCGCCGCGCAGGCGGTCGCGGATTCGCTCTGCCTGCGGCCCGTGCGCGGCGACGAGAAACGCCGACTGCGCAGGCCCCAGGTCGATGTCCATCGTGTGCGTCTTGAAGACCACGTAGACAATATCCCCTAGCAGCTGCATGTTCGCGGTCAATGCGTCAAGCTTCTGGCTGCGGTAGTGAAGGCCGCGTCGTCAGTGTAGGTGATGTCGCCGATGTCCTGCGGGGCTTCCGCGCGATCAATGCATGCGGTCGAGTGATCATGTCTGATGCGTTCGTCCATGCTGATGCCAGCTCTCCTCACGGCTCCTCTGATATTCCAAAGCGGCCTCGTGAAGGCGAGGGAAAAGAGGAGATCCTCCGGTGGTGGCCCTGGTCGCGCCCCTCTCGTCGACGTCGCTGCGGCTGCTTGTCCTGGCATGCTAAACCATGCCAATCGCTGTGTCTCTGCGGTGAGAACCAGGAGGTGGTCGTCAACGCACGGCTCACCACGAAGCCCAGGCTGGGCTAGGACCCCCTCGAGGCATGGGACGAAGAGCCTCTGGGGTCTGCTGGGTGCGGCACACCATGTCTACGTCGTCGTTGCGCTGTCGGGCCGCGATGATGAGTTGCCGGGCGATCCTGCAGAAGGCCGCACGCAGGGCGACGAAGGGGAATGCTATCGATTACCCTGTGGGCTGCGATAACTGCTGGAGCGCCCTGGCATGGTGAATCGCAATCGAGGTTGATCGTCCCTTCATCTCTCCAACATGGCTATCGCACGGGATCGCCGCCGCAGCATCGCGGTGGCGATTGCGGAGAAAAGCAAAATGATGTTTGGCCACTGCGCTGCAGAGCGCGATAGACCTGCGGGCCTCCTGCCGAGTGGAGTCAACGTCCCCATTCGGGACCTCGGCAAGCGCAGCGGGTTTGAGGGCAAGAGGTTCTTGACAGCGGAGAGCAACTTTAGCGCGCTGTGAATGGGCCTCCGTCGCGTGCTTGACTGGGCCAAGTGCAAGGATGTCGTTCGAAATTCCGTTCTCTCATGGAGCTCCTCGCTTATTTCCTCTGCTGAAAGCGATCTTTGTGTCAAGCAGGGTGGGCGCATTATAGATAGAACCCCCCGCATGCGATGTCTTCATCCTCGTAAGAGTTGCAGGTGGCCGCTACCTGCTGGCGATTGCCCACATAAGCGCCCTCAAGCCCGGCGCAGCACTGCAACTGCACTTCGCGTATCCGCTCCTCGGAGTCGATGACGTCGCCATTGTCGTCCAGCCTGCGCGGGATGACGGCGCCGCCTTGACTTCTACGTCCTCGTCGCCCTCCGATGGAGTAGCCGCCGAAACCATCGCCGCTCGGTTGGCGTGTCCCTGGACTGCGCGGAGGTCGTCGAGCTTCCACGCGGTCGCGCTGATGCAATCGCGTCTCTTTTGACTCATGACTGACGTGAGGATCATAGCTCTTGACTAGAAATAGGGCTCGACTTCCGCCCTGGCCTTGTGTATACTTATAGTCTAGTCCTGGAACATACTGATGGCGACGCTCGGCCATGTGGTCTGTTCTCGCCCTGGAGTGCCTGGCGAGGTAAAAAGTTCCTCTTGCCGAGGAAGGTTTGCCGCGGGGTGCCCTGGCTTGCCTTCCCCAGCCATCGGCAGCCTGAGCCCCCTGTTGGCGTCCTACTGAGCCACGCGGTGCTGGTGCTGATGCGCTCCTTTAGCGGCGTTGTAAAATCTTTATTGAAGACTGCTCCCGCTGCCGCGTGGATGTCCTGATCCATGTTCTCGTAGTGGTCGTTGACGGCGATGTTCCATTCGGTCGTCCTCATACTGAGATTGCTCCAGTAGGCGCTCTGAGACTCAGCGTTCTCGAACCTGCTCTTGTCAAAGGATTGCTGAGGTCGACCTCGGGGTCCTCGGCTCGACAGCATATTTTTTCGCGCAAGCGATCGGCGCATGGACTCGAACCTCGAGGCCTTGAATGGGGTCGGACTCCTGGCCCGCCGTGACCAACGGCTGGGTTAGCCCGGCATAGTCGATGCGCTTGTCGTCGCCCTTGGAACTCCGCAAGGTGGGGCCCGCATCATAGTATGCATTGACCAGTGTGATGCCCACTTCATACGCCATCTCCGCTAACTGCTTGCCGTTGGGGTCGCTCCTCTTCGCTGGCCGGTTGTGGCCGATGTCGCGGTCGTCGGCAAGGTCAGTGCTTATCTGGCCGCTAGCGTCTGCAAGCAACGTGGTGAGTGACCTGCCGCGTCTGCGTGCCCTGCCGCAGTTGCTGCCACCACTGCTTTCTCAGGGTGAAATTCGCGCGGTGGTGCGGTGCATGAGTAGCCGCCACCGTCAGGTCCAGGTATGGCGCACTGATCATGATGACGAGAACGGTCGGCGTCTTCCCAAGCACCCTCACGTGTCCGTCGGCAATGTAGAGCTCGCGAGACTCAACTAGGCCGTATGAAATGAAAGTGGCGATGAACAAACCACATCCGTCACCGCCTTCGTCAACTGGGCCGCGGACGTGGATGCATCCGTCTGCAAACGCGCGCCCTCCGCTACCTCTCGCCTCCTGGATGCCTACCAGCAGCGCCGACAAATCCGCAAGGTTCAACCTCAAGATCTCCGGCCTCTCCCCTTTCAGTGGCTGCTGCTCGACGCTGTCGCCATGATGCCTCTTCCTGTTGGCAGCCTTTCCCTGCGATTCATGATCATAAAGCATGAACTCCCACTCCTGTGCCTTCTGGTATATTCGGTGACCCCGGAGTATTGTGCGTGGCTGCTGAGATTCGCTGGCCCTCTTGGCTAATGCATCCGCCAGCTGGTTCGAAGGATCGAACTCGTTGCTCTTGGTATGCCTGATGTTGAGCTGCCTCTCGTGTGCCACCTCCATCGCGAGTGGGGCAGTCCCCCATGCCAACTTCTCACATGGCTGGTCGATAACTGCACCTCGGGCTGCATCGGCCGCGTGCTGCGAGTCGCTGGTCACCACGTTGACGCCCGAGGTCGCGCCAGTGCCCTTCTGCAAGATAAAGTGAGCGCCCAGCAAGTGGCCGCTAGCTCAGACGCGGCGCTGTTCAGTCTGCCGTCAACTGCATCAGGACACGCGCCCCGTGCCACCCCACTGTTGCATCCCACGCAGTGGAAGCGGCCGTCGGTCTGCCCTACGACCACAGCAGCCCATCCATCGTGATCGTGGCTGGACTTGTAGCGCGAAGCGTCGGTGCACATATTGAGCTCCCTTATGCAGGCGGTCTCGGCCTGATGGTTGTCGTCGTGTTCTGGTGCCAGCTGGAGCGCCAGTCTTGCAAGCTGCTCCATCGGGACGTCGTTCGCGCCCGCCCGAAGGTCGAAGAGCCCGACCGCCTGGCCGGTGCTGAACCTGTCCTGGAACGTCCTGTCGGCACTCGCCTTGCAAATCCTGCATCGAATGGCCTGCTGGTCGTTTCTGCGTCGTTGTCCTGGACTGCGTCATGTTCATCGGGGGTGTCAGTCGGTTCTTGTCGGGTGAGCGTGTCGGCTGTCGGCTGGTCGCGGGGTCGGTTGGTTGCCGGGGATGGGGGCGCGTGGACGTGGGTCGTACTTGCTTGGCCTCCATGCGCCGACTTCGAAGGCGGTCCGTGGCGGCCCCACCGCGCCCCGCCATGGCTAGGGGTCACAGTGCCCTCGGTGGGGGCGAACCCCAGGCTAGCTGCTTGGTGCTGTTCGATGCGGGCTTGGTCGTGGCAGCCCTGTGATCCGCCTCGTCGGCGTTCGGGCGAGCTCCTCTTCCGTCCCGGGCGGTGGGGGTGGCAAGCTAGGGCGGATCGCGGGGGCGCGGGCAGCGGCCGCCCTCCCCGACCCCCCAGCCCCCCAACACACACATACACACACACACGCACACACCTGCCCCTCACCACCACCCCTGTCAGGCGGGGGCCCTGCCCTCCCGCCCTGCGAGCACGTCTCAAATTTGCGCCTCGCCTCGCCAGGGCCGTTGCGACTCCGTCTCTGGGTAGTTGTAACGGGCTGTCGCCTCTGTTGTGCTGAAGGTGGTTGTGATCGTCGCCGCTGCCAGCCGTTGGCGGGCGCTGCGAGAGGTCATGCCGATCCCGCTGGCCGCTGCCGGTGTTGTCGCGATGTCTGTATATGCTTGCACTCTGCGCCGCGCGCGGTGGGTCCTCGCCCGCCTCCTCACGAGCCCTCCAATGTCCAGTTCCACGTGGCGACTTGGGCCGGAGGTGTTCCATCGCATTCGGGGCATCCTCAGGACTTTGCGTCCTGACACCTCCAGCTCCACGTGGCGACTGTTGCCTGTGGTGTTCTCTCGATTTCGGGGATCCCCCAGGTCTTCGCATCCTAGCGCCACGGTCGCGCTGTCGGTGTTCGTCGGCGTCGGCCTGCTGGCGCGGCTGGTGCTGGGGTCTCTGGTCGTGCTTGCGTTGTGATGGGCACCATCGTTGGGGGTCGTTCTGGTCGATGGGGGCGTCGGCTGGCCGTGGAAAAGCCCCGTCGCTCGTCGCGGGCCCGCTTGCCACTTGTTCATCGCAGGTCGTCCGTAGGGTCGCCGCAAGGCTCTCGGCCGATGCAGAAGGTGACCTTGCGGGACCCGCCCTCGAAAAGGAACGTCAACCTCCTCGCGCAACTTCCCGCCTCCTTTCTCCTCTGGGCGAAACTTCTGCTTTAGCTTTTCCACTGCTTGACTCGCGCTCGACGCCTCGGTCGTGCCTCGGTAGACGCGCCTGGGTCATTATGATGTTAGTGATGTCGTCGATGGGGTTGTTGTGTTCGTGATTGTCTTCCTCTCCTCTGAGACTGTAGTCCTCCGCGTTGGCGGGTCGGCCCAAGCTCGCGGTCGTCCGCGAGGAGAGCCTGTGCTCGCGGCGGCCTCCTCCATCGCTCCCTCCGCGGGTTGTCCTGCAGCAGGTGGCGCGAACCTTTGGGGCCGCGGCCGCGCTCGGCGGAGTCGTCCTCGGACTCGCCGACGGCCTCGACGGTGAGGGGCTCAAAAAAGGGTTACTCGACCCTGGCGGGGGGCCCGGGGGAGACGAGGCACAGCGTCTCGCAGGCTCCTACCTGACCTTCCTTCCTCTGGCTGGCCCCGCGCGGGCCGAGTGACGTCGCAATGCTGCTCCTCCTCGCGGTAGGTGCCGTGGTCAACGACGTCGTTGGTGAAACTGCCTGTGGAGACCCCCACAGGATGCCCTTGGCGCGGTAGTGCGCCCCTCAGGCTCCTACCGTGCTGACGGCGCGGGCAGGCGCTCGGCGGACCGCGCGGATCGGCGCCGCGGCTGCTCCTGCGCCACGTGCTGCGGATGCCGAGCGGCGGCCCCCATCTGCCTTCCAACGGCGCCAGGCGCGGCTCCCAGACGGCGTCGCCGAGCCTTCGCTCGGTCGGCTGGCCCTGGCGCCTCGTGGACCTGGGCCGGCGATCGATCAACGCCTCCCAAATTGGGTCACATTCGTCACGCTGCGCTGTCTGCCCTTGATCGGCATGTCGAGGAGGGGGCAGGCCTCTCCCCCCCTCGCTTCTCGCGCCTAGGGGCGCGCCTCTCGACGCTGCTCAGAGGCGCGGCTGCCGCCCCCATCTTTTCCCAGATGTACCGCGCGTCGGCCTTCACTGCTGAGCGCGACGAAGCGACGCAGCCTTTACTGCTGTCGCCTCTCTTCATTAGGACTCCGAACCCTCCTTCCCTCAGCACCTCCGCCTGGGGCCTCGCTGCGCGCGGCGGGAGGTGTTCCTCTGGGTTGGACCTCTCGGCGCCGGGCACAGGTCCAAGTGTTGATCCCCCCCTGGCCCTTGCGCGCCCCGTCGAAATCTTCGCTGGCGGACAGCGCTGGCGAGCAATGTTATGACGCCCCCATTCCTTCTCAACTGTCGGCCGTCGGGCGTCTCCATACCGAGCTGACTGAGCATGCTCACGTCTTCCACATCGTCGCTGCGCTTCCCCCCCCCCTAGTCCCCCTCGACCTTGTCGCCCGTCGCGGGAATCCCGATCTGCTCGATGACGGCTGCTTCCTCGTCTTCGCACTCATTGAGGTATCGCCCCATCCGCTCCTGGCATTCTCTTCCGCCATGCTCTGCTCGTCGATCCCTATCGGCTCCTGCGCCCCCATCTGCATCTCCTCGTCATCGCGCGCATCGACGGTCTCAGTGCCCGACGGAAAGGTCGATGGCACGGTCGGTCTCCTGCGCCCGCAGATCTTGCCCGGGCTGCATCCCCACTCGCGGCGGGCACAAGGCGGCGCCTTGAATGCGGATATGCGTACGAGCAGGACAGCTTGGACAGCTGGAGTCGGCTCGCCTGAAGATGAGGTCGTTGACAGCGGTGCCAGCTGGTGGCCGCGCTCTGCTTTGACCGCGGACTTCTATTCTCTATAGAGGTCCACCGCAGGGTCAGAATGGCGCATGGGCCCGTCCTGCCGGGCCATGTTTTCGGCACCCTCTAACTACTCTCATCTCCATACTACGGCACCCCATCCGGCCTCTGGTAGTCCTTCTGCACGAGGATGTACTTCATCTTCTGCTCGCGCTGCTGATGCCAGTGGCCCACGCGCTGCTGATCCCCCCCAATGCCGCTTCTGAAGAGCGCGTTCAGCATGCTGCTGGACTGGAAAATGCCGCGCTGCCCCCTGCTCCTTTAAGTGGTTGGCAGTGGCCTCGCGATTCTCTCCTGAACGCTTCCTCTGCTGCGCCCGCGTGCCCCCCCCCCCCCCCCCGCTTCTCGGCAACCCCCCAAACGCGCTTGACCTCTTGCTGCAATACTCATTGTTGCGCCGGCTGCTTCATCTCCATGCGACGCGCCCCCGCCTCTCTGACATGTGCCTGCATGCGCGGGTAATTGGCGACGCAACCTTATTCTCCGTGCACATCCTGATTTCTTTTGGCGGCCATGTGTCCCATCTTTTCTTTGCGCTTTGAATTGCGCCTGTTCCTCCTGGGGCCGCCTCCTCTGGGCGTCGCACTTCCGCTGGAACTCCGCTCTTATCTTCTCATCGTCGCTTTTCTCATGCAACTCCCCCCCCCCCCCCCGCGACCTCTACTTCCGCAGCCTTCCCCCCCTTCCCCCCCCCGAGTCCGCTTCCGGCCGCGCCGCCCGCAGTTCTTGACTCCTCTTGACTCCCCCTTGTTGATCTGGTGTAGCTTGCCACGGTCGCCTTCTGGAAATCGGCATTGGACTTGGCTTGGTCCTGCACCGCGTTGCCCAGGTCTTTCGCGATGTCGTGGAATCCATCACCTGCCGCCGACGGGGAAGCGGCGGCGGGGGCTGGGCCTGTCCGCGGTAGGTGCTGAACCTGTTCCGCGGGACGCACTGGTCAGCTGCGAGCCCTGCTTGCATCGCGATGTCGGCTGGCATTGTCGTCGTCGACCTCGGCGTCCGCTGCGTCTTCGTCTGAGGCCCCAAGCTCGTCGCGGACGTCCATTCGGTTATTCCTCTCATCGGTGAGCTCATCGAGATTTTTCTGCCAGCGGTCGCGCTCGTTCTTGGCTTTGTAGATCTGCCGATCCCGGTGCTCGAGCTGCTTGTGGGTGTGCTTGGTGCGTCTGTGCGCTGGCTGCAGCGACTGCTGCACGAACCGGAAGACTCCGATCTCCTAGTCGATCTCTTCCGCGTTCTCTCCTGCACCTCTGGCCGCAATCAATCACAAGGCGAGGGGCTCAAGGCTCGAGGTGTTTGCCGTCCAGCGGAGACTGGAAGGCGGCGTGGACCACGGCCTCCGCCGCTCTCGCGACGAAGATGCCCTCGATGACCTTCTCGGAGCTCCGTCGGCTTGCCACCTCACCACTCTGCTTGCGTGTAACTGGGGCGTGGGCTCTCTTGCCGTCCCACTTCTGTGCGAGTTGCTGCTGTGGCTGCGGCCGCTGCTGCTCTGATTGCTGCTGCGGCTGCTGCGGTTGTTGCTGCGGTCTGCGGTCCACGTTCCAGCTCTGATCCGCGCGGAGGGGTGCCGCCTCAGCGGGCGTGCGGCTGCAGCGGCTGCCGATCGCAACCGCCGCGGCGCACGGCCAAAAGGGGCAAGCGGCGGGCCGACGACGACACCGGCCGGCCCAAAAGAACCGACGACGACAACGGCCGGCCACGCTCTCCTCAGCCCGTGGCTCTCCTCTTCCTCCTCCTCCTGCTCTTCCTCCTCCTGCTCCACCTCCTCCTCCTGCTCTTCCTCCTCGTGTTCCTCCTCCTCCTCTTCCTGATCATCCTCCTCCTCGTCCTCATCCTCCTCTTCCTCCTCCTGCTACTCCTCTTCCACGTATTATCCGTATGATTATTCTCAGTATCATTCGTAGTATGCTTCCTCCTCTTGTTATTATTCCTACTCGTAGTATTATTATCATTCTGACTGTGTATGAATATTATTACTAGTCGTATTCGTCTTCGTCTGCTTCGCCGTCTTCTTCTTAAGCTTAGTTTTCTTATTCTTCTCTGTGTTTTAAATATTCGTATTGTTCGTCTTCTTCGTTTTCTGCATAGTATTTCTAATATTCTTATTAATTTTCCTCCTCTTCCTCCTCCTCCTCCTCCTCCTCCTCCTCCTCCTGTTCCTCCTCCTCCTCCTCCTCCCCTCCCCTCCCCCTCCCCTTCCATTTCCTCCTCCTCCTCTTCCTTCTTCTCCTCCTCCTCCTCCTCCTCCTCCTCCCTCCTCCTCCTCCTCCTCCTCCTCCTCCTCCCCCCTCCCCCTCCCCCTCCTCCTCCTCCTCCTCCTCCTCCTCCTCCTCCTCCTGCTCCTCCTCCTTTCCCATCACCGCCGCAGAAACACACTGCCAAAAAAGCTGAGGGTCCTTCGGAAGCGCACGGAGGGCTGACGGCATGCACGCCGCGGGATGGCATTAGCGCTGAGCTCCGATCGCGCACGGGATCGTTCAGACTGGAGCGATCGCGGCGCGTCGATGGCGCAGTGCTTTTGAAATGAGCCGCTTCCTGGCCACCTTGAGAGCCCGCGCCGGCGTCGCCGCCGCAGGTACCTGCACGACCCCTGCCCGTGCAGACAGCCGTCGAGGCCTGCCTGGAAGGTAGTTGTGCTGTGTACCTCTATCACTGCTCGACAGGAGGCCCGCAGTGGCGCGAGAGGCGAGGAGGGGGACGAGGAGGGTGAAGAAGACGACACAGGGGAAGGAGGGAGGAGAGAGGCGGACGGCAAGCGAGGTGAGCTCGCGCCATATCTGACATACTGCCCCTCCCATCCATCCCTCCCGAAGGCACGGACTTCTCTACACCCGCTGGCTGGTGTCATGGCGGACCCGGAATCCCCAACCCATCTCGTTATGCGAAGCAGATGGACGACGGGAGCAGAGCGCCCATACTGAAATGAGGCCAACGCTGCCGTGGAACAGCAGTTTGAAGCAGCAACACCAACAAACATTATCCCAGAGCGACCCTACCTAGGAGTTGGAGCCCCGAGGAGAGCAATATTAGTAGTAACACTGCTCGCGGCTCCTGCAAGAGCTGTAGGCTGTTCAGCACTGCTTGCAGGGGCTCCGGTCCGGCCATCGAGGCGAGCTCGGCACCTGTCGCACATTACTTTTGTTTTGCCTTTCCTTTGCTTTGCTTTTGCTTTTTGTTTTGCGTTGCTTGTGCTTTGCTTTGCTGTTGCTGCTGCTGTGTTGCCTTTGCTTTGATGATATGCTATGATATGCTATGCTATGCTATTATATGCTATGCTGCGCTATGCTATGCTATGCTGTGCTACGCTATGCTATGATATGCTTCTCGATGCTGCGCTAGGCTGCGCTATGTTATGCTGTGCTATGCTGGGGTCTGCTGGGCTGCGCTATGTTATGCTAGGCTATGATATGATATACTATGGTATGCTATGCTGCGCTATGCTATGCTATGCTGCGCTATGCTATGCTATGCTAGGCGATGCTATGATATGGTATGCTGCGCTATGCTATGCCATGATATGCTATGCTGTGCTGCGCTATGCTATGCCATGCTATATTATGTTATGCTGCGCTATGCTATGCTATGCAACGATATGCTGCGCTATGCGATGCTATGATGTGCTATGCTATGCTATGGTATGATGTGCTGCGCTGTGCGATGCTAAGCTATAGTATGATGTGATGTAAAGTAATATGCTGTGCTATGCTGTGTTATGGTAGTAGATACTATGATATGTTGCGCTATGTTATGCTGCGCTGTTCTATGATCTGATATGGTTTGCTATGATATGCTATGTTATGATGTGCTAATGCTGCACTGCGCTAAGCTGAGCTAAGCTAAGCTAAGCTAAGCTAGACTAGGCTAGGCTAAGCTAAGCCAAGCTAAGCTAGGCTAGGCTAGGCTAAGCTAAGCTAAACTAGGCTAAGCTAAGATTAGATAAGCAACGCTAAGTTAAGATGAGATAAGCAACGCTAAACTTACCGCGGAGCGGATGCTGGGGGAACCGCGGGGCGAATCCTGGGGGAACCGCCCAGGGCGGTTCCCACTGCCCGGCCCCTTTAAGACACAGGGTAAGAACCCTTCTAGGCAGAGTCCAGATAGGGAGCAAAACCACCTTTTGCAATCCGATGTGCTAGAAGAACAGCTCAGGGAAAAAGAGGCCTCGCTCGGGCTAGATCCTAGGAGAGATAACCTTACTCATTACTCACATTGAAAAGCTGCGGATAACTATACATCAGTTAAGACACGCCTCCAGTGGACGTCGAGAGGCCGAGTGAAAGAAGGGGACCGAGGAGGCGAGAGATGTGATGAGGGAGCAGAAATGAAGGGGGGGCGGTGGGCCTTTTTAAAGCCCGTTGCGGGCCTCCAGGAGAGGCATCTTGCGGGCATCCTGGGGCTCTCTTGAGGCCTCTTGGGGGCTTCTTGGAGGCTTGCTGGCGGTCTCGGGGGTCCTCTTGGGGCGAACGTCTCGAAACGTGGGTTCGAGCTCCTCCTCTTGGCCGTCTTGGACAGTGTTGGGCGCTTCTTGGACATACAGTGGGGCCCTCTTGGGCCGTCTTGGATCGAACAGAAGTGAGGGGCAAAGATAGGGGGGGCACTTGCATTTGGGGGGGAAACATCGACCTGGAATCAGGGCACCCTGGACGCAAGCAGGGTGCTTCTTGGCATGGGTTTCCACTACATCGGCGATCCATGGGCGATCGGGGGTCGATGTATCCCCTCCTACGCCTACCCCCCCCCCCCCTGCCGGTTGCCCCCGAAGATCGGCGGTGGACAAACCTCCCTTTAGCGAACCTCCCCTGAGGAAAAACAAGCCTGGGACCGCAACCGACGGACCTGGACCGCAAAAATAACGGCCGCGACGCCTCTCCCGTGCCGAAACGGCCCACTCCTTAATCGACGTGTGATGGTAGGAGGTCGATCCTCCTCCGAGAAGAGGCTCCCTCACCTGGCCGCCTTACATGTGGACGCCCGAAATGGGTACAATGCCCAACAAAAAATATTGTCCCAAACCATCAGCGGCCGCTGTTGGGAAGGCGGCCTTCGGTCTCAGATGGACACAGGCAGCGGCGGAGCAGGAACTGCTGTTGGGCATCGTACCCATTCTTTCCGTCTCCATCTCGTTCGTGCAGATCACAACTCTCTGGAGCCGCCGCCCCCCCCCCGGTCGGCGCCGTCAGCAGCTGCAGCTTCCGGCGCTGCGCGGCCGTCAGCTCCGGCAGGGTCGCGCTCCGGGCCTGGACACGGGCCCCCCCTCGCGGAAGGAAAGATCCCCTTACTCCTCCTGCTCCTCCTGCTCCTCCTCCTCCTCCTCCTCCTCCTCCTCCTCCTCCTGCCCCCTTATCCTCCTCCTCCTCCTCCTCCTCCTCCTCCTCCTCCTCCTCCTCCTCCCTCCTCCCTCCTCCTCCTCCTCCTCCTCCTCCTCCTCCTCCTCCTCCTCCTCCTCCTCCTCCTCCTCCTCCTCTCTCCCCTCCTCCTCCTCCTCCTCCTCCTCCTCCTCCTCCTCCTCCGCCTCCTCCCCCTCACCCCTCCTCCTCCTTCTCTCCTCCTCCTCCTCCTGCTCCTCATCCTCCTGCTCCTCCTCCTCCTCCTCCTCCTCCGCCTACTCCTCCTCCTCCCTCCCTGCTCCTCCTCCTCCTCACCCTCCTCCTCCCCTCCTCCCCTCCTCCTTCTCCTCCTCCTCCTCCTCCTGCTCCTCCTGCTCCTCCTCCTCCTCCCTGCCCCTCCCTCCTCCCTGAGTGAGACTGACCTCGGGCCCAAACATGGCGGGCGCAGGCCTGGGAAATGTCGGCCGCGCGTCCTCTCGAGAACCGGAAAAAGTCAATTCACTACTCCAGATCTCGTAATAAAAGGCAGGGGGTCTGGACCCCCCAAGACAAGCCATTTCAGACCCCCCCCCCCGTGGGAGAACCCTCCAAAACATCGTCCCCAGACCCCCAGGCCCTCCAAGATAGCCTGGAAGAGACCCCCCCCCCCGAAATGAGACCCCCTCCCTTTATTACGAAATCTGGAGTAATCGACGTGTCGGGGTGGGGGTTCTGTCCACTCCGACCCCCCCCCCCTCTCTCCGGCTGCACGCCCGGGGTGCGGGCGAGACAGGCGGCCAGATCCACTGCAGCTTGGAGTCTCGGGCCCCCCCAGACACGAGAGGCGACGACGACGGACGACGACGACGACGACGACGATGACGACGACGGACGACGGACGAAGACGGAGACGACGGCGGACGACGGACGATGGACGACGACGGACGGCGACGGACGCGCACTGGAGATGGATCGGAATCCAGCCCCTGGGGGCTCGATTTTTGCACGTATCCGGTGCGCCTCGGCCGTGCAGTGCCCCTTCCAAGGTCCAAGACGCACTGGATGTGGATGCAACTACGGCCCGCATCCCCCTCTCTGGCAGCACGCCCGAGGCCCCCCTCTGCGGCAACTCGGGGGAGCCTATCACGAGCGGCGAACGTATCCACAGGAAGGCCAGGTGAGGGAAATCCGGATGAGGATACTTCGCGCATCTCTGAAAAAAACAGCGGACCTGGAAGACGCATCCCGTTTTAAAACGCTCCCTGTACTTCTCGTCTGAAGACCTCCAGATACCTCCGCGAAGCTCTGGAGTCCTCTTCTAAGAGAACGGCGCCCATTCGCCGCATCGTGTCTGGACTCCCATGATTCCCCGATCCACAACGGTACGGTGCACATCCTTTCGACTCAGGCACCGTCCCAGTCCTGGGCCGAAGGTCGCCGACGCATCGGGAGTGGCAACGCAGTACGGCGCACACAAGTCCTCCTCCTCCTGCTCCTCCTGCTCCTCCTGCTCCTCCTGCTCCTCCTCCTCCTCCTCCTCCTCCTCCTCCTCCTCCTCCTCCTCCTCCTCCTCCTCCTCCTCCCCCTCCTCCCCCTCTTCCCCCTCCTCCCCCTCCACCCCCTCCTCCCCCTCCTCCTCCTCCTCCTCCTCCTCCTCCTCCTCCTCCTCCTCCTCCTCCTCCTCCTCCTCCTCCTCCCTCGTATCCTCCTCCTCCCTCCTCCTCCTCCTCCTCCTTCTCTTCCTCCTCGACATCCTCCTCACCTACTGGGTGTCACTGGACTGTTCTGCAGTTGACCGCCACCCGAGTCCCACCGCGGCGACGAGCGCCGCGAGGCACGACACGCCCGTCACAGCGCAGCGCAGGCTGGCTCGGACAAGATCGAAGCGTGGCGCCAGGGGCCCAAGCCGCGGCCAACAGCGCAGAATCTGGCCTGCTCGGGCCTGCAGGACTGGACCGCCGCATGCCGCGGGCGGCGCTCCCCCTGGGGCCCTGCTGGCGCTCCCGGCCCGAGGACGTCTGCGGCCGCGGCGGGCTGGACGGTTGACGTCCCCCGCAGAGGGCGGACCCAGAGATTAGGGAGCCCACAAAGGACGTACGCGCCCAGCTATGTACATGAACACGGCCCCTCGATTCGCGAGACCGGCCGCGTTATACGAGCATTTGTGCAATGCGTGCCCTCGAAACCAGCGTGGATTCATGTACATGTACGTCCTTCTTTCGCTCCTGAGAGATCAAACGTCTTGCCTCTTTCCACTCGGGATCCCCGGGCGACCGTCCCCGGGGCCGGGCGAGGGTCTCGAGAGGCCGACAACGACGAAGAAAAGCCTCCGTCTCGTGCTCTTCAGCACGTTGGACCTCTGGGGAGGAGGAGTCTCCGCCCGACGCGCTCGGACCCCTGCCCCAAAATCCTCTGCCCGCAGCCCCTGCAGGAGGAGGAGAGCGCGGGAGGAGGAGGCTCCCTCCGCCCACCCATCCCTCCCCCCTGCCTCCACCTCGCGCATCTAGAGAAGAAAAACTGTGTGGACAAAAACAAGCAATCCTGCATACGACAGGTTCGTGTCTGGCCGAGTTCGGCGGTTGTTTCTGACACTTCAGGGATCGCTCAAACTTGAACGATCGACCGTTTCCGGAACGTCGGATCGCTTGACGTCGACCGATTCTGGGTCGCCGGCGGCGTTCAACGTGGAACGCCGGCGGAGGGGTCGCCGCCTGTCGACACGACGCGAACCTACCGTAAATCACGTCAGCGGCGAGGCAGAAGAGCTGCTCCAGCGGGCGGCGATCCGGGGCGACCGACGCGCGGACCGGCCAGCGTGCAAGAGTCGGGGGTTGCTGGAGGTGCCCCTGGCCAAAGGTGCCCCCAGCTTTTCGCTCAGTGTTGGAGCCCCTGGGGCCCTCGGGGCCTCGTGAGGGTTGCCCTGGAGGCCGTGGGGGCCTCCTTGGAAACCCTGGGGGCACCTTAGGCCAGGGGCACTTCTGGCAACACCCGAAAGAGGGTGAAAAAGACAAACTGCAGTGCGGGAGCGGCCGCAAGAAACCCTCGCAAGAAACACAACCCTGAGAACCCGTGCGCGAGGTGCACCTAAAGAGAAAAACCTGGAGCACCCCGAACGCAGCAGCTCCTTCAACGGCTGCGGGAAGTCACCGCGCAGCGCGAGGAGCGAAGAAACCCAGGATCGGGCGTTGGCAAAACTTGGTCTAATGGGACCTGGTTTAATGATGTGTACTGGGGGACTACGGCAGACCTGGTTTAGTGATTCTGGCCAATTGAGAGGCTCCAGGGCCCTACCACTGACCGGGTCCCCTTACCTGGGGTCCTGGCTATACCCGACAGGATACCCTGACGGAAAAGATGTGGTTTCTTGCTGCGCGCCCCCACCCCACTGTGCATCGAGAAGACAAACCCTTTTTTTGATTCGCGGGTCGAGAGCGCACCTCTCCCGGTCGAAGCTACGCGGGCCGCGCGAAGCTCGAATTAACCCAGAGGGGGGGAAGAGAAGGAGCGCCGCCTCCCAGCGAGGCCAGGAGGAGGCAAAGCCTCGGGATCGAGCGGTGCCGAAAACGACGTGCTTGCAAAGGAACGCCTTGTACAGAGAAGACAGCACCAGCACGAGCAAAACAACTGCCGGGGGCCCATGCGGTGCCCTCGAGTCGGCGCCGCGAACCCCGCCCGCCCGGCGTCACGCAGCGGGCCAGGCGCGGCGCAGGGGGCGCTGCCAGAGCGGGCACCGCGCCGGCCCAGGCGAGGGGAGCGAGGCGCCTCCTCGTTGTGCCTCGAGCGCCCCCCTCCAGGGTCCACATTTTCGCTCCCCGCCGAGACGACGCCAGGGCGAGGCGAACATCGCGGGCGAGGAGAAGTCGAGAATCTCTTGGATCCGGCGGCTCTGGAAGATGCCCCGGGCGCCGCGGCCTTCTCGTCTTCGCCGCGTCCGACCATCTCCCCTTCTCTCCTCCTGGAGGCCGCCCAAACGGGGTCGAAGCAGATGGGGTCGGAAGATCGCGCCGCCATCGCCGATGCATCTTTGGCGATGCATCGGCGACGTCGTGGAAATATCCAGCTCTCCATCGAGCCGAAGCGTCGACGCATCGGCGATGCGGCGCGATCCACCAACCCATCTACTCGAAGTCGGCGAACCGCCGAGGGGGGAGGCGAGAGAGGTGCAGGCCTGCTGAGCAGGCGGCGGGACTTCTCAAAGCCCTGCTGCCTCCGGACGATGCCCCATGTGGCTCTTTTTGCAGTCCCGAAACGGTGCGGTGACAGACCGTGCCGTGACCTCGCCGCACGGTCCGTCACCGCACGGTCTTGGGGCCTCGGAGGCCCCCGTCGCCCAAAACGTCCTCGGAGAACGACCCGAGTCCCCAAACCGTGCGGTGGCCCCGAATCCCCACCGACTCACCACACAAGGTGGTCACCACCCCGTCTGGGGGCCCCCGGAGCCGAACCGTGAAGCGCGAAGCGCGAGTAACTTCGCGCCCACGAGGGCACCCTTGCTTCAGGGTTCGACGCAAACAGAGTTGTCCGTTTTCGTTGTGCTGTCGTTGACCTTTGTTTTGTCTTCGCTCCGCATCTGCTGCAGAACGAAGTCAGAACGAGGACGGCCCACGAAGTCGCCAGAACACCGTTCAGGTCGCGCCCTGTCCCGCTTCGTCCCCGCAGCTCTGACCTTGTAGTCCGGATATGTGCCGTACGCGAAGATCCGCAGCAGCTCCAGCAGCTTGGCGCCGTCCGGGGAGCCCTCCAGGGCCTCGGGGCCACCAGGATGGGTCGGGCGTGTCCCCCTACAGGGGGATTTTGGGCGAAAGCTAAAAAACATACTCCAACAAAAAAACCCAAATGGTCAAGAAAAAAACAATCGTCCCTGGACTATGTTTGGACTATTTTGGAATATCCTCCCTGTAGAGGAACAAGCCCGACTTAACACCAGGACGACGGGGGAGGAGGGAAGCGGCTTTCCCCCTGTGAGGGGGAGGGCGAGCAGCAGGCGGCGCATCAGCAGGGGCGGGGAAGAGAGGGACGAGGGAGGAGGCATTGAAGGGGCCCAGGGACACACAAATAAATAGACACAAATAACAGGATTCCCCATATCTTTCAATATTTTTTAGGGGTTCTGTCTTCCCCCACACTTCCCATGTTTCTCCATAGTTTCCCGGGAATCGACGATTCATGGTGTCTGTGTGTTTTCTCCCCTCCTGAGGGATCAGCGCGGACGGAGCTCAGAGCAAGAAGGCCCCGGGGTCCGACGTTGGCGCACAGCACATGGCAACATCGCAACACACATCACCTTGGCGGCGGGCCCAACCGTGTGCAGGCGTGGGCACCGCAAGGCAGGGCAGGCGCGGGCCCCGCAGGACAGGTGGGACGAAGGCGGGGGCGGTGCACCCGGGGGGTCCCAAAAGCGCCGCGAGGGGCGTGCCGCCACACCGTCGGGCTGCTGAGATAGAAGGAACGCCTCACGAGGAACGACGCCCCTCTGCGACCTCAAAAAAGCCCGGGCGCACGAGAGAAGGGCCAGAGGAACAACCACGGAGGGAGGTCATGTCATAGGCATCGAGCCCATTCAGAATCCAAGCTGTTCCTCATTTCAGCGTCTTGGCTCTACGGGAGGCGCCGCCCTGCGGGCACCGGCACCGGCGCTCCGCTCGTGGCACTCCCTGCGGCCTGAGGTGGCCACGACCTCTGCGAGGGCTGCGCCGGAATCGAAAAAGCACCGACGCCCTGCGGAGCGTGACAGTCGGGCCTTAGCTGGAGCTCCCTGCGGGGCCACGGAAGGTATGAGAAGCGCACCGGGATGGGGAACCGACTCGTGCGGACCCTGGCGTGTGGGCCTCAGCTGAAGCTCCCCATAGGGCCACGGATCGTGGAAGGGGTGGGCCGAAGTGAGGCACCGACGCCCTGCGGACCCTGGCATTCACACCGCTGCTGGGGCTCCTCCTTGTGGGGCCACGAAGCGCGTGAAGGCTGTGCCCGAATGAAGCAGGGCCGCCATGCGGACCCTGCCACTGGAGCCTTTGGTGGAGGCCCCCCTACGGGGCCACGACACGGGTGAGGTGCGTTCTGAAATGAGGCACCGCCGCCAGCGGACCCTGGCAATTGAGTCTTCGGTGGAGCTCCCTATGGGGCCACGACGCGCATAAAGGGGTGCGCTGAAACAAGACACCGCCGCCATGCGCACCCTGGCATTTGGGCCTTCGATGGAGCTCCCTATGACGCGCGCGAGGTGCGCATAAATGAGGCATCGCCGCCATGCGGACCCTGCCACTGGAGCCTTTGGTGAAACCCCCTTATGGAGCCACTAAATGTGTGAGTGGTGTGCCGACGTGGGTGCGATGGCGCCATGCGAACCCTGCCACTGGAGCTTGCGGTGGAGCTCCCTACGGGGGCACGAAACGTTTGAGGGGTGTGCCGAAATGAAACACAGAAGCCATGCGGACCATGTCACTTGGGCATTAGCTGGGGATCCCTATGGGGCCATGACACGTGTGAGGGGTTTGCCGACAGGGCGCATTGACGCCTTGCGGACCGTGTGAGGGGTGTGCGGGAATGAAGCACCCGACGCCATGCGGACCCTGGCAGTTGGGCCTTTGGTGGAGCTCCCCATGGGGCCACGACGCGCGCGAGGTGCGCATAAATGAGGCCCCGCCGCCATGCGGACACTGCCACTGGAGCCTCCGGTAAAGCTCACTACGGGGCCACGATCCGTGTTAGGGGTTTACCCAAATGAAGCACTGCCGCCATGCGGACCCTGACATTTGGATCTTCGCGGGCTGCGCCAGAGTGAACATGCGGAGGGCGGAGGAAGGGATGGGAGGAGGTGGGAGGAGAAGGAGGAGGCTGATTGAGGAGGAGAAGGAGGATGAGGAGGAGGAGGAGGAGGAGGACGCGGGGCGCTTTGAAGTCAAAAACGACGACCCATCTCAACAACGAATGCGACCATAGTTCCCCACGTACGGTAATCGTGGGAAAACATGCCTATGACATTCAGGTGTACGCTGGGAAGGACAAGCGAAGGCAAGAAAAGGAAGAAGCAGGGGGATAACGGCACTTCAGGGTGCACTCCCCCCCTTGCCAAATTCTACGGGCCCCTGAGGCCATCGTGCAAGATATGTCACGAGACTCGCATAAGGTTTGAAGAGGGCCCCAAAACGTTCCTAAGAGCGCCTCAGAGTGCCCCAAGACTCAGGAGGTGTCTCCTTGGATGGACGGGGAGCGGCACGATACTCGCCAATAGAAATTTAGCGGGTACC